AGACTTGAGGAGGTCCTTCACGGAGGCGGGGGTGAGATCCTCGTAGTAGTCGTCGTTGATCTGAATCATGGGGGCGTTCACGCAGGCACCGAGGCACTCGACCTCGAGAATGGTGAAGAGACCGTCGGCAGTGGTCTGGCCCTGCTCAATTCCGAGCTCCTCCTTAATAGCCTTGACGATAACATCAGATCCACAGCCTCCAAGTTGGCAAGGTGTCTATTGGTGCCGTTGTTAGTGGGTTGTGCTTTTAGAGTATTCAGTAATCTTCAATGACGTCTAAATGTCATTGCCAGACTAGCGTGAAGCAATTGCAGTCGACAAAGGCGTGCTTCATACGGGAAAACAACATACGGTAGTGCAGATTTGAACAAAATATTTGCCCACGGGAGTTCTGTTGTACATGGTGTAGAAAGAGGCAACCTCGTACACTCGCATGGGAGGCATCTCAAGAAGACGGGCGACCTCATTCATGACGCTGATGCTGGTAAAGCCGTGCTGGCGTTGGCCGAGGTCAAGCAAAGGCATGACAGCAGCCTTCTTGTACTGGGGAGGGTATCGCTTGAGGATCTCGGCAATGACGGTCTGGTTCTTCTCGTTGAACTTGAAGGGGATGTCGGGGTTGTTGTCCTCGGTATTTCGATGCTGTCATACGGCCAGAGGTCAGACAAGTTGGTTCTCATCGCTAGAAATTGCGCACCGATAGATCTACCATGATCTATGGCCCAGGGTCGCAATTGACTGCGCCAATTGGCCTACTTACCACCATGAGAGTGTCGCTTCGTCGGCTTGCTGTGAGAGAGAAGGCGGCGCGAGACTGAGGGCGGGCAGCCCGGCACACCGGCCGGATGGCGGAGCGGATGAGGGGAGTGAGCTTGCTCGCCATCGTGAACAGTTTGGTGGTGCTTTTCCTGAGCGAGCCGAGCGGGTGTTGTCGCGAAGGCGGGAGGGCTTCTGAGGTCGTCGGGTCCGGATCTTGTCAAAATGTCGCCGTCGTAGCGAGCATTACAATTCGAGTTGGAGCTGCTTGCAAAATCAACGTCGATGATTGGTGTGTCTGGCCCAAGGTTTAGCCGTGCCGGTGTGGGCCGATGGAGAGGTACGTACCGTCCTCTATGAGGTGTAAGTGGAGGGACCTCTTCCATTACGTCGCCTATCTCGAGCTGCCTCACCTTGAATTCAGAACAGCTCAATCATCAATGTTTTTATGGTTAACTTACGATGATGAAGATTCTTATAAACCGCCATTGTTGATAGAGCCACACAAGAACTCGAACCAGTCACCGACGTGAACAAACAATAATCTAATCCTTTACTCGTGACTCGATCGAATACACCCATATAGAACCGCTTTCGCGCAAAGACCAAATGGCATTGGGTTTGATAGACCTGTGTTAACAGAAGCTCTGCAGCCTTTCGCTGCCTGAACTTATCCCGCCAACAGATAAACTATGTTTTAAACACTTACAGACAATTCGTTATGAAATCAAGTTTCGTGAATTTGGTCGTACCACATGCTTCTCTGTTGTGCGCAATCTCCATACATCCCTCTTGGTATGTGTATCTAACCACAGAGCATGTTGTGAATCACGATTCAATTCAATTTCAATGGCCTATGGCCCAACCTGCTGTGAGTTTAGTGTTGTTAAACGACGATCAGCATTCGTTTTGGAGCCTTGAACTCGAAATCAGATCCAATTGGATTCGTTCTATCATGGCACACAAGTAGGATCCAACCCCGATCTCTTTGATGCTCGTCAAACAACCGAAACTCAAGCCATCCACTGCCAAATTTGTCTTCATACATGGTATTTCAGGTGGGACAACCGAAGAGTTGCAGCATACTCGATTGTATGCGCAAGAGTGGCTTTACGCTCGATTCCTCACGTGCAGATGACAAACGAGACGGTACTCCGTACATGGTCAGGGCAATATAAGCTTAAAAGGGTTTTGTTGTTGAACCTTCTTTAACCGCAAGACAAACCCGAGTCAAGGTAACTTTGCCACCTCGCATTGGTACAGAGCCTGCCACTTGATGTTTGGGGAAGCACAATTGTGTAATTCGGCTAGAGGCTTACTTCTTGCGATGAGACACCAACAGTGGATTGGGTGCTGAGGTATCACCACCTTAATGCTGTGGTTCTGGCGGCTTATAACACGAGACTACCGATGACAACTGGTCCTCTAGTTGGCAACTCACCGGGCTGGGCGCATAAACCCAGTAAATAATTTGCTGGCCATTGAGAGGATATCGATTGTTGTCGTCGTAGGTTTCAGATGGCGGGGACAGAGAAAGGAGCCGGCGTTGTGATGGCTGGAATCCAGTAATGAGTGTAGCTAATTTTAGTTAAGCGTCCTCATCACTCTCTGAAAAAAGGCTGAGGAACTACAGCATGTACAAGCGGTTCATGTATGTATATAATATTAAGTCTGTTCGCATCAATAATTCAGCCACGCTTGTAATTATTGAACCTGTCGTTCATTTGTTTCGGTGCCATCCCTCTCCGTGAGTTGATAACCCCTGGCTCAACTCTATCGTCGGGCTTGATCTCAGAGCGAAAGACCCTTGTTTCTAACTAACTTAAGAGCTAGGATCTTTCAGCTAATATCTTAGTTCTAGAGCCACTTTGGAAGCGCCAGATCTTAAATGAACTACAGAAGGAGGTAGGTAGATGGCGCACCTCCTTCCTGGTGTTCAGCTTGGCTTGGCTTGATGCTTCTAGTCTTTGGTAGGCAACTGCTACCTAATTACTCTTCTGAGCTGGACCTCTTTCCATCTTACACACAAAGAGAACCTCATACTCCATCTGAATTGTTACATACCTTATACTGAACTCCATCCTCTTAAAACATTGATATCTCGACTTGTCGACAACATCGCACCATGCCAATCGAATCGCGATTTTCGGTGTCGGTTCCTAATTGCTCGATTCAACAATGGATATTTGGCTCGGCTTCGGGGCCATTACCGGATCAGAAGGCTTTCATCGATGCCGATAACCCTGAGCAACGTTATTTCACCTACAACCAAGCTCGATTGTTTGCGAAGCGTATCGCCGTCGGTCTTATCAACAATGGTCTTAAGCCAGGTGATCGTGTTCTCCTCTTCGCCAGTAACAGCTTATTCTTCCCGACTATTGTGATGGGCATTTGGATGGCTGGGGGCATATTCACAGGAGCTAACCCAGGATATGTCACTCGAGAGTTGGCCCATCAACTTCAAGATAGCGAGGCGTCCTTCGTCGTTGCCGCGGAGAGTGGTATGGAAGTGGCATTAGCTGCTGCCTCACAGGTTGGTATGAAAGCTTCGCAAGTCTTTTTGTTGGATTCGACATGGCCAGACTCACTTGTTGAGACACAACCTAGAGAAGGCAGTCGACACTGGACAGAACTCATTGCATCCAGGCCAGAGGGCGAGAGATTCGAGTGGACTGAGCCAAATGATTCTAATGACTCTGTCTGCTCTCTCAACTACAGCTCAGGCACTGTAAGTCATTCTTTCAACTTTTTCTTGGTCCTAGCCAACTGCTGCGAAGCTAATAACATTAGACTGGAATACCGAAAGGCGTCGAGATCTCACATTACAATCATGTTGCGAATAGCTGCGGTGTGACTCTTTTCCATAAACTCCATCCCGACTACGAAGCCCACCGTCAATGTGCTGCTGCCTTGTGTTTCCTCCCCATGTATCACGCCTTTAGTCAAGGCTACTTCATCACCAGCTTCCCTTGCGAGCGCGTTCCCGTATATATCATGCCTTCTTTTGATTTTCCTAAGATGCTCGCACATATTCAGAATTTCCGCATCACGAAGCTTCTGGCCGTTCCCCCTATTCTTGTCCTTATGTCGAAACACCCACTTGCACGCCGTGCCGACCTGAGTAGCATCGACATGATTGCATCCGGTGCTGCCCCATTAGCGAAGGATACACAACGCGAGATAGCCGGGATGATACCTGGGGGCGAGTCAGTAGTACGACAAGGTTGGGGGATGACTGAAGCAACCTGCACCGCGTTGTCGTGGGACCCTAACAAAGCTCCCAGCTCTGCGGCTGGTGAGCTGACCCCAGATTCCAAGGCCAGGTTGATCCATATCGAAACTGGAGAGGAAATTAAGACTGCAAATACCCCAGGAGAACTCTGGATCACGGGTCCTACGGTGATGCGTGGCTACTGGAGAAACCCAAGTGCAACCCAAGGCGCATTTGTTACTGACGCTGAGGGCACTCGGTGGCTCCGTACCGGGGACGTTGCATATGTGGAGGAATACGAAAAGGGGTCTCTCTTTCATATCGTGGATCGTGTCAAGGAGTTGATCAAGGTTAAAGGCATGCAAGTTGCTCCAGCTGAACTCGAGTCTCTCCTACTTGAACGAGAAGATGTTGCAGACGCTGCAGTTATTGGGGTCATAGTCAACGGTGAAGAGCTCCCACGAGCCTATGTCGTCAAATCAACAAACGCAAAAGACACATCTGAACAAGACATCGCGGACTGGCTGGCTAGTCGTGTTGTCAAATACAAACAACTTAAGGGGGGAGTGGTCTTCGTCGACGCTATCCCCAAAGTTCCTGTAAGTCTATCATCCTTCTCAGTAAGAGGCGCTGCAAGTTTGAGGCTTACATATTGTCACTCCAAGTCGGGCAAGATCTTGCGCAAGGCTCTTCGTGAGCGAGCCAAACGCGAAGTTAGCAACGGCCTTGAGGTGCGCGCCAAGCTGTAGGTCAGCGGCGGCGACGGGCGCGCAAGCTAATCAATATATTGCATCACTTCGCAAATCATAGACTTCTTTGTGTACGCGATGGTCTGTGAAGTACGGGCAAGTCGATAAAGAAGGTATATCACGTTGGCGAGAAAAAGAATTCTTCTTGCTAGGACCAGACTGGGCACAGTTTACTTGTATCAATATGTTTGCATAAAATTCTTAGTGTAAGGGAGGCTGTCCCAACAAGCAACAGCAGCATCTCTCATGGCTTTCCAAAAGCATAACTTTGTTTCCATTGATTGTTACACACAGGCCTCATCGTGGTCCTTGCCATGAGACATGTTTGAGTTTCCATCACCAATCATCATCATGACTTCGTCCAAGAGTGTTGAGGGTATCTTCATATCTCGAGCCCTATCAACTCGCCCTCCATCAATTCGATATTGGGCTGGCAGCTTCACGCCATCGGCGATCCCCAATATCTCCTGGGCAACCGCTATTCCACATCTCGCTGCCACTGGCATACCATGCCCCGTATAAGCAACACTAAGCCAGAGGCCACCATCTTCACCGCCCAGAGAAGCGGGTAGTTGACCAACCCACGGATAGCCATCTTTCGAATAGCCCATGATGCCAGTCCACTCATGAGTAGCTTGAAGAGTAGTGTCCTCGGATTCTTCTGGTGCCCTTAGCCTGACGGCCTCATGAAGTGAGGCACGCAATCGCTGAGCTATGATTGGGTCGATCGAATCGTCCCGCGATAGTCCAACTTGGCCATCGGATGAGCCTAGTCTCTCACCGCCAGTGATAAGTTCACCCGAAGGTCTCTGGACGAGATAGTCGTCTCCTCCATCTGGTGTCCACCACACGTGGCTATGCTCCAGTGGTGAGCTGCCTTCTGAAGGGGTGAGAGCAGCAACTTGACCTCGCACGGGAACTATGTACCCAGATAGCTTTGGAATAAGGTGTGAGGTATAAGCGTTTGTTGCTAGGATGGCTTTCCTGGCTGCTATCTGGCCACGAGGGGTGTGGAGAACCCATGAGCCCCCAATCCGCTGAATGTGCTCCACGGGCGTCTTTGTTTGGAGATTGAAGACGCTTGAGTCGTTCGCTTCAAGGAGACTCTCGAGAACCCAGCTAACAAGCTTATACGGCCATAGCTTAGCAGCGTTGGGCTGGTATATGGCAGCAGATGCCCCTGAAACTCGCAGCTTCTTCAGTTGCTCCTGATCGGTTATGACCTTGATGTCGTCCGCAAGCTCAGGGTTGGTTTTCTTAAGACGGTCTAGATGCTGGGTCACAATGTCGAGGATTTCTTGTGAAGGAACACGGTGCACACCTCCGACTGTCTCCCAGTCACAAGAGATACTGTGCTCCGATACAAGGTCCTTTAAGAAGTTAAAAGTATCCAGTTCAAATTGAGCAACTGGAGCTTTGGAGGCGTAAATAAGGGGCTGGCAATGACCACCATTCTAATGACAATCAGAAAGCCCGTACAAAAGAATCTCAGTAGACTTAACTCACTCTTCCTGTGGCCCCCCAACACGCCTCTCTTGCCTCGAGAAGCACCACATTCTTACAGCCCCCCTTAACAAGCTCTCTCGCGGCAAATGCCCCCGTGATACCACTGCCTACGACCACAACATCAGCTGTGGAAGGGAGCTCAGCTGTGGTGCGATGCCCGAGGAGCCTCTCAGAGGGTTTGTGATGCCAGTACGATTTTGTGCTCTCAGTGCTAGGCAATTCAGCCTGTCCTGGTAGTAGCGTGGGGATTGTCATTGTTTAGCTGAGGTGTTTTTTAGTGTATACGTGGGTGCTGATGTGAGACCAGGTATAAGTTTGAGATAAGTTGCGGAGATGTAAGTTCAAAGTCTGGTGGGATATATATCGAATTTGAATCCGTCTTAGTAAACCCCCGCCTTGAACGGCAGTTATCGGAGGGCGTTGGCATAACATTAGATGTATTACGTCGTGCATAGGAGCTATAGATAGACTGATATGATAAAGGGCTGCAGTATCATAGGCTTCCGGATATCACGCATACACAGCCAAAGCCAAGTGTTGATTATGAATTGATCTTATCATGTTCATGCCATTTCGTCGTCAGAATCATCAGCAGCTATCAGATCAAGCTCCCCCATCCAGTGACCTTTCAATCCATCCCATTCTGCCCTGCTTTGGCAGTGGGCCTCTAAAGTATCCTTCCACCATGCTTGCTCGTATGCTTGCTCAAAGAGCCATTACTATAATTTACAATATTCCAGCGTCTCATGTAGCAAATCCTGCACTTCCAATGACTCGATACAATCATTTCTCAAAGACAGCCGTCTCTTTTTGGCTCCTCCATATGCTGTGTCCTGTGCTGTTGCCCCTCTCTGCTGAATCCTGCAGAGGTTTGCCGGAACTTTTGATTATTACTCCCACCCAATATGCGCTGTAACCACAGCATGTCTAATGCTTTCCGGGGTATTTGGTACACGCAGTCTCGCTGTTGAGACGCAAAATATTCAAGCCATCTTCCTGAGAGGGGCACATTCTTCAAATCGTGCTCTCGCTCCCTGTGGTGTACAAAGAAAAGTTGACAAAGGAAATAAAGGTCGGTCCGGGGAACAGTCGTGGCATGCCTAGTAGCGACAGCCTCCGAATCGAAGGTTGAATAAAGAACTCAACAAAACGCCATGGGAATAAATTTCCCGTTAATGGCTTCCATTCCTCGTGGTATTCGTGTCGTGTCGTAGTAGCAAATAATGTAGATGTCGTCAGAGCACATAATTCCTCCTGGTCGTGAGTGCTATGTTCCTAGTTCGAGCCAGGGTCTCCAACATCAGTTCAGCGTGTTTCTCCCCATAAAAAATCGCAAAAAGCTCCTTTTCAGTAGACCTTCAGTGCTATCCAGAGTGAAATGCAACCAGGTAATTCCCTCTAGACATCAGTCATCTCTGTGTCACTGTCACCGCCCTCTGCAATGGAAATAGGGATCAACTCCTCGTCGGGTCCCCAGTTTCCTTCATAAACAGTTGCTGGTGCGGCGCGGTGATGGCCAACCCACTGCAGGCCCTCAAGTTCCAAAACCTGATGTACCGTTGGTCGCTCACTGGGCTCTTGAGCTGTCATCCATCGTACAATCAAATCGAGAGAACTGTTGTGGGTGGCATTAACCATAAACTCGGGAGGCTGCAGTAGTTCCGATCGCTTGGATGGGCCAAACAAGTTGCTTGGGTCGTGCGTCTTGCCACTTGTGAAATCATCGCTATGCATTATCTCGGTAGGGTTACCAGTGGCATCTCGCTGGACCTCAATAGAGGGATTCCAGGTAAGACTTGGCACTTCAGAAAGATCTCCAGAGCGGAGGGCGATCCACGTAGGTCCATTGTCAGGTAGGACAACGTTGGCGGCTGTCTCAAGGATAATGAGGCCCAGAGAGAAGACGTCGGCGGACTGGCAGGATTTACCCTTGAGCATCTCCGGGGCCATGTACTCACGATCGCCCTCGACGTCCACGCCTTCGGCAGACGAACAGGATTGGGCCAGACCGAAATCACCAATCTTGAGAACACCTTCGAACGTAACAAGGATATTGGCCGGCTTGAGATCCAGATGCATGAAACCTGAGTCATGGATATCCTTCAGGCCCTATAGAAATGTGAGTACGTATAGAGAGGCACAGTGGTTTACAACTTACCAAGCACATGTCCTGGAGGATCTTGAAGATGCGAAAGTCGTCTAGTCGTCCACCTCGTCCAACAGTACCCAGGAACTTGTCGAGGGTACCCTCTTCGCAGTACTCTGTTTGAATATAGAGATGGTTATTGTAGTCCCAATGATCGAAGTACTGGACCACATGTTCAGAGTAGCTGAGAGTCCTCAAAATCTCGGCCTCTCGGACCTTTGTATCCCGATCCTTCGGTCCCTGGAACGCATGCTTGCTCTTCTTTACAGCATAGACTCTGCCCTTGGTGGGGCTTGTTGTCGGGGTTGTACTGAGGTTGCCAAATGTCATTTGATGGTCCGCCTGAGTGACACGATAGACAACAGAGAATTCACCCTTTCCAATCTGCTCCACTTTGTCGAATCGGGAGGATAGGCTTGCGTCAATGTCAATGTTACTAGTACGGGCGTTCACGGGAGTAACAAGGAGGCTGGTAGATGATCGCAAGTCCCGTCCTGCTGTTGGGGTAACGGGAGGTGGCATGCTATCAGAGAAGGCATCGCCAATCTGAGAAATAGACAATCGGCTGGTGTCGAGAGGCAGCAAACTCTCACGCGGCGTTTGCGGTGTTCGTCGTCCATCAAGGGGGCTGGCTGATTCACAGAGTTTCGATTTAGTAAATGTCTCATGAGGAGAACTGAGGGTATGACTCAAAGAAACTGTGCTTAGTGGAGAAGGAGAGTGTAATCCTCGTCGAGCCCTGGAACGGCCAAACGAAGATAGAGGCAGATGCGAAGATGGGGAATACAGACGTCCAGCATCGGTAGGCCGACTTGAATCGTCGACTGTTCCAGCTGGTCCGTCCGTTGTTGGGACTTCCGACTTACAAGTTGCTTCTCGAGGGATAGAGGTGCCGAGAACCGGAGTAGTAGAGTGCAATGTTCGGTTGGCAGTTGGGCTATGGTTATCATGGGGACTCTCGAATGAGTACTCGCTGACCTTGCTAAGGCTGGGAGTTAAACTGTTCTTGGTTGGAGTAGGGGGAGCATCGCCTTCCATGGGTGTCGAAAAGTCAATCGTTTCACCAAAGAGCTTGTGTTCGTCACCATCCAGGCTAAGGACACTACCGCGACGTGCACTCCTAGAAGCACTGCCACGCTGGAATATTGACATGCCCTTTCCTGGCCTACCAAAACTGGCTGTGCTGTTACCAAATGGGGTGGAAGGGAGACCGCCAAAAGAATTCCGGTTGTTACCCCTCTTCTTCATGGCACTCCCAGCCGGTGGAGGGAAAGTAGCGAAGGGGTTAGAGTGCTTCTTGCATGGTGTATCAGGAGGAGCCATCTTCTTGTCGGCATCCTCTTCGGGATTTCGGTTGACCTTGGAAATAAGTCCAGTAGAGTTGAAAGCGCCCACCCACAGCTGCGAGTTGCTGGGCGTCGCCATGGCCTTGGACATGTCATTTGGGCGATTGGGTCGTGTCGCATTGAGAGGGAGGGATCGTGAGAAAAGGTGAGGTCTGGGTCGATCTGGCATCCGGGCCACAGGAGCATAAATAGGTGCTTCCTCGGTTAAGCTGTTTCCTGAAGACGACGTCGTCAGTGTCTTCGATAGAGGATGTGGTTGGTGGGCCTTGTCGCCAAAGAAAGTAGTGGGTGGTGGTTTCGAGGTCGGCGTTGTAGAAACAAAGGGACTCTCTTGAGGCACAGGAGGAGGAACAAATTGGTCCAGAGAAAGGCGAGGTCGACTTCGGACAGGAGAATATTCGGAGCTCATCTGAGCCAGCTGTCGTTCACCAGATCGTCTTCCCCAAGATCCTCGCTCCCCATATCTTTGTTGTAGAGTTGACTTACGTAGGGACGATGACCTCTTAGGAACATTCGTCGTCGCAGGTGTTGGTGAGGGGACGGGATCGCGGAATGGTGATCCGCTAGTACCCGCAATCTCATACTCGGTAGATGAGTCTTCATGTATGTAGAAGCTCTGTGAAGATGTCGTGTTGGCACCAAAGATATTTTGGTCCTCGTTCTGGACCAGCCCCGATATTCCATGCAAGCTCCGTCGCTTAGCCACTGGGCTTCCCTGACTCGGTTGGTCCAGATTCATGGTTGCGTCGCTGCGCTTTAATGACCCGTTGTTTGGGATCATCTGACCATCATTGTTGGAATCAAGAGACTTGAGAAATGAGGTCGGCGAAGATCCAGCGACGTCGAGAGTGAGGCTGCGTCGCTTGACGGGACTGACAGAGATGGGGCTTGTAGCTCCAAGGGCGTTATTCTCTTGCCCTGATGCATCAATAACTGAAGCCAAAGGTACCGCAGGTAGTGAGTTGCCGCTATCGGGAGCCATGTTGAGCGCCCTCTTAAGAGGGCTCTTGGGAGATGCGCGTGCTCGTGTCAACGGTCGTGAGGGCGATGTCTTACCGGCCTTGGCGGAACGCAACGAGAGCCTAACGCTGGGGCGGAAAGGTGTAAAGGCGGTTGAATGCGGGCCGCCGTTGATATGAGGAGGTGCTGAGCGGGTGTGGGACGGTAGAAGTTGTTGGTTTTGCGGTGTTGCGCCAAATCGACGACAAGGTGATTGAGGTGAGGTTTGGTGGGGGCTTTCGGGGCTCAGCGAGTTTTGGGAGTTGGAACGCGTCAAGAACTTGGAAGGTGATCGTGAAATAGAGCGTCGGAGAGTGCGAACTGCCGATGTGACGTCGATGTGGTGTGCGTGGGTTGGTGATGGTAGGGCGAGTGTGCCACCGCTGCTGTTCGAGTAGGACATTGTGAGGTTGCGAAGTGCTGCGCGCTGCCGTGATGCGCGAGCAGATGACGCAGTAAGGCTGATGGGTATAAACAGTTGAATAACTAGGCCTTGTCGATATTTGCTGCTAGTGCGAGATACAGTGACCGATGAAGAATGCAGTAGGTGAAGTATAGGTTGCGGACGTTGGTGAGCCGAATGTGCAAGCCTTTAACGGTGTTGCGTGAAATGGCCAAGTCGAAGATGTGAGAAGCAGCTCGACGCGATACCCAACAAATCGCAAAAAGCTATGCCAGTCTCACTCGGATGTCGAAGGTCATATCATGACTCGACAACTGAGAGTAAATCAGACGCTAAAGTGAGGGAGGCAGAAGGCAGAAGAGCGTTGAGTGTAGGCTTCCTTTTAAGTGCCCGAACGGTGATGTCGTCGACAAGGCAGCCAGATAGATACCTTAGATAAGAGTGGGTCGACGTGAGTTCGCGTTGATTGAGTCAATACGAGTGATTGTCGACACGTATAAAAAAAAATTATAAAAAAGTGAGGTTGAGTAGAGGAGGGAAGTTGGTGGAAGTTGGAACTGCTAAGCAGTTGTAGGAGTAGTCGTGCTGCAGGTGGTGGTGTCGTGTTTCGTACGGGCAAGATGGACGTCCGGGTTGGAGTTGGGAGTGGGCGGGTTGAAGAGACGAACGGGAAGACGAGAGAGTTGGGTTAGGTAGGTGAACTAGGCAGTTAGTTTGGGTGTGGCAGTTGGACCATGGCGCTCGTGAACGGGCATGGGCTACTGATCCTGACACAAACTAACCAAGTTGTGTTTGTGTGTAAAGAAGAGGCTAATGAAAAGCAAATTGTCCCTGCAGTTGTCGTCCGGTCTCGTCTCTCCTTTTACTTTGCTCTTGCTCGTCGAGTCTTTTGTTATTGTGGTTTGTTTGAATCCACAAGCAGTAGAGTTCAGAGCAATAATACTATCCTGCCCCCTCGTGTACAATACCCCTCGTGTGGCTGCGTTGAAACCCAAGAACCCTTCCTCAGGGCAGAACGTGGATACTCAAACTGGGGTCTGGTGACTCAGAATATCAGGTCGAAAGGACAACGACTGGTAGTGGTAAGTCAGGCTGGTATGCACTCGTCTGGGCTTTCTTGGTGTCTGTGTTGGAAAGTTGGTGCAGACCAGAGTTGACTTGCAAGTAAAAAAAGACCCAGAGGGTGTGACAAAATACTAGTGAGAGATAGGACAGGATGGGATGAGAGTGGAAGGGAGGGCGCGCAAAAAGAGGATGGACAAGACAGCCTGGAGTGGTTGGAAGAGAGGTCCCGCCATAGACGGATGAGGATAGGGAGCGTGGGAGCCCAGGGATGGCGCGTGTTGGCTCTGTAGGCTAACGATTTGGTGCACGCCCCGTGCTGTAAAAATGGTAGGCTCAGGCTGAGTTAGTGGGGGGTTTTCAGTTGTCTACAAGCCTACCGTCTTCAACCAATATTCAATATATCAATTGATGAGGAACGGGAGAATCACTAGAGCAGTCATTATCATAACAGGGGATCAAGGCGCGTACTTTGCATCAGGGAGGCAAATTCCGTACTCGTCTTCTACCATACAAAAATCTCTTCGTCATATCAAAGAGGCTGGACAACAACAAGCTGGGGTAGAGGCGCGCGACAAAGTGACGCATTTGTTTACACGTTTACCTAAAGGGGGATAGTGTAACACGAAAAGACGCGTTTCTCCAAGCAAAAGCCAGGGGTGCAACAACATACACACATCAACTCACTAACACACCCTCCAGGCTGGCCCTGTTAGCAAGTGGCTTCCTTCAAGGGTGGCGCCGGGAGCTGGTCCCCGTAACTCAACCCGCTCATGGCCCGTCCATGTTCCATCTCAAGCCTCTGAGCTAGCTATTGATTCTGACTCTACAGGCAGAGTAGCACTGATCTCTCTGTCTCATCGATCATGGCACGTTCATCGGAACAATCACATTCCTTCGTGGCTGCGTGGCTTCGTCATATCCGAAGATTCTCTCTCCATGTCTTGATGCTTCCTCCTCGTCACCCGTAGGTAGGACAACCGACTTGTTGAATAGCGACGATCGTTGATCTTCAGGGAATCACGTTTGTCTGTGACTGAATGTTTCTGTGAACTTATTGAGCCTCGATGCTTGTTGCGCTGGGACTCTTGTAAGTGATGGCCACGATATATCCACGGGTATGGAGTAGAGAGTCTGGAGTGGTTCCTGAAGCCGACCTCTAACTTCAGACTGACCAGCACCTCTTCTCCGTCCGAGAGAAAGAAAGAGGCATACGGATACCAATACAGTACCTAGGAATTACCCACTTGTAGGAGTTTCTGACTTTTTCTTGCTCACATCTTCCAGGTCGAAATGGCATCTATCAACAACACCAAAGTTCATGTGGATATCTTATTCAAGAGACTGACATGTATGTAAGTCGAACATCCAAAGCCCTGGTTCGTCGATACCCCACTGGGCGCCTCTCAGCGCCAGTGCTCAGGGGTATTCCCGTCCTCTCAAGCCATCGCAAGCCACCTCACCCCTGAGACCTCCCCTCTGGCCCAGGAACTTCTCTGTTCTTTCCAGCCAGGGAGGATCCCATGGCACTGGCAGTTGGCATGGGATGGCGCCCGTTGGACTGAAGATCGCCTCTAACATGGCATGGAATTCTGGTGGAATGGCATGAGGTCTGTTCTCGATGGAGCAAAAAAAAAAAAAAGACGAGCGCTTCTGCTGGTCAGTCTCGAGGTCGCAGTCGTTGTAGGACAGCATCTACTTAGACGCTGGAGTAACTGTCCCAAGACAGATCGGAGGTCGCAGCTCGGGCACTTGCACTGGCACTCGCAGGTTGCAGCGAGTCCAAAGCAAGATACGATTGGGACGGGGGGTTGGGGCCGTGTCTAGAGCCCACCCGTTCGCTGGCTCCCGTCCCCTTCAGACCATTCAGCGTCATGATCGTCGCCGTCACTTGCTCGTGGGCATGCTTTATCCCGGGTCCCATCACTTGCCTCGTACAGGACTGGGCTACCTCGAACAAGTGAGTGAGGTGTGTTGTACGCGCTGTAAAACAGAGACAACGTCAGCCCTGGCTAGTCAATGGGTACAGTACAGCTTAGTTTTCATTATCCAGCGAGTTTCTCGTACCAGCCACTTCCAATGGATGAGTCTTCTCTCCTTCTTACAGCCGCTCAGTGGCCCTCTGGTTCAGGCCCTCTCTGCCTCCACCAGCAGAATCGGTAACAGTCATGACATGGCCATACCAGGCCAAGCCAGCTCATCGCATCGGGCACAGGTACCTCGAGGCTAACATCAGCATCAGTGTCAACCATGTCCTGACCTACATCCCGATAGGCCGGCCCCTCTCATGACGCGCAGGAAATCTTCCCGTTCTGATCAAAACAAACAAACGATTGCTTCCCCTATCCTCTTGTGCACTCCCCCACTAGCTGACGGTGGTAATTTGAGCTTTAATTGTGCTCTTTATGCCAACCAGCCCATGTCATCTCGCTTCTTATGAGTGAGTCCGGGGTGGCCCCCGCTATATGCGAGAGGGCACTGCGCTAACAATTCAATTGTGTGCGCTCGTCAGTTGTTGGGCCTGCGTGTGGACGAGAAGAGGCACAAAAGCCCTGCTCATAAGCCTGGGGCCTAGGCCAGAGGGACCACAAAGCGCATCAAATCGAAAAGCTACGCATCGTACTTTTGAAATTTGAAGCCCCTAGCATGTCGTCCATCTGATCAGCTGCCAATCAAGGCCATCAATCGGCATTGCCTCTACCGTTGCTGCTCCGTGCTTCTTGATCGGAGGTTTTAGATCAACTCACATATCGACTTACGCGGAGCATCATCGTCACTTGCACTAACATAATGGAAGGTCCTTTATTGTTCACATCCTACTCCGTACAGATCAGCTCAACTCAATTCACTCACGTGCATCCCCCGCGCTCGCATATTCTACACTAGGCAGGGGATGCAACTGGCTGTGCACAACATATCAGTGCCAACTTTGTTGACCGCCTGACTTGGTTGCATATTTTATGGGACATCGCTGCAGCTAGCAAGCCGTTGAAGCACACCGCACAAGTCTGCGGCTCTGTGAAATGAACCCCTATGCAGTTCATATTATAAGGGCCGTGTAAGTGGCCTCTGGCGGCAGCGGTCTACAACTTTCAGCGCAGCTTCGCTAACTTTGACATGCTCCTGAGCCCCTATTCGCAAACTATTTCCTGCAGGTGGCAATCGTTGTCCTGTTGTTGCGATGCAAATGCACGATGTGTTCAGGCGTGATGAAACAAAGCAAGAGTTTGTTACAGCCGACAAATTCGAGAACTTGGACCGACTTTAGTTAGTTTGTAGTCGAAATCAAGCGCTCAGATAAAGGATGCAGAGACGAATTTATTCATGTGCGTTAAAATGTTGGTCTTGCATAAGAGACCGTCGAGAACAGAACCAACTTGAACCCAAGCGCACCGTTATCCGAAACGGAAGACACAGACAAACGCCATGACGCAAAGTGGCTTCATTCTCATGTTCCCATAACTGCGGCCAAGTGGGCTATGACTACCCTGTAGTGTTCTAGAGTTCGGCGTCATTGGGGCTTGGTAACCTGCTGGCCTCAATAACGGGCCACGCTGGCAATGCAAAACGCACCTCGACGGGCCGTCTGCTTGCCTGCTTCTGCCTGTGAGGTTTCGGTGCAGCGATGCAATGCTTCAAGTGGACTCGGGGCAGGGCGGATACTGCATGAGAGAGCGTTGCATATACTATTTGATTGGACAATTGGACAACACATTCGCAAGGGACTCAGCGAGGGGTACAGTAACTTTGCATGTCAACTCCAGCCTTTGACCAAAGTCTCATATGCACCTCCTCGCTAGGGAGGATCGAGATGAGCGAATTTTGCATGCCAACTGGTGTGGGTGATCCTGAGCATGTAGTCTTCTGGCATCAAATCTTGGTGAAGCAATTCCAGTATCGTGTTCTGCTTCAAAAAGCCACATCCTAGGCAAAATCCAGTGTGTCTCTCAAGATTCCCCACAAAGGCATAGCAAGGGATTATAGTGAGACGGCCGAGATACCGAAAACCTAATAAAGCTCCATCTTCTCGAGATGAATCAGGCCATTAGGCGGCTAGATCTGAGTCAGTATCAAACTCTCAAAAAGCACTAGTGAATGGCAGAATTTCGTCCAGATCTGGACTCGAAGGGAGGATTCATGTACTCACTGGTATGAACTGTCTCAGCTTCACGCCGGCCTCCCTAAACACCCGGGCTGTATCGTTGTCCATGCTGTATGTGTGAGCGTAGACAACCTCGCTAATGCCCACCTGGCAGATTTTGATACTGCATGTGAGGCAGGGACACGTGTCGCAGTATAGGACAGAGCCCTCGCGTATTCTTTCTCGTCCCGCTTCCAAAAGCGCGTTCTCTTCGGCGTGGATACACAGGCAAGTCGACAAGCCCACTCCGGAGCTGTTGCCATCATTGCACCTTGGACAGCCTCCCTCAGTGCAATTCTGTAGTCCCCTTGGAGTCCCATTATAACCGGTGCTAATGACCCTGCGTTCTTTGCCAACAAGCACACATCCTACTCTACGCTTCATACAGTTGGAGCGTTGTGCAGCAAGGGATGCCAATTCCATAAAGTAAGTGTCCCAGCAAGGGCGAAGGCGATCAGGATTTGGGATGTCCAACTTGCCAAGGGTAGCATAGAGGTGCGCTAGGGAGGATGATGTGTTGAGAAGTCTCACAACAGCGCGCGAGATAAGGGGCGAGAGGCCTTTCTCTGCGTCGTATAGGTGGATATCGCTCTCTCTGACAAAGTCTTCTAGACTCATGTCAGGCTCTCCCGCATGCCTCTGCCTCGCGCGGTCCTGGAACCGTCGCCAGCGGACCGTCAATGGCGCATCGACGGAGAGCAATAGGAAGAAAGGTCGACGAAGAAAGACATCTAGAACTGCCTCCGTGGGAATGTCAGTAGTGACAAAGCGGCTGCGCCAGCGTTTCGTCACAAAGTCAAGAAGTTCCTCGGCTGTGGAAAACACGTGTTGCGGACCATCCCGGAGAGTCAGCGTGTTTTCAGAAGAAGACTGGTAGGCATTCTTGGTGGTGAGCGCTATTGGGGTCAGAGCGCCTTTGAAAGCTGTCGAGTCAGTAGACTGTGATGGAGACTCTGCATCGTGTTCCTCGGATGAAGGGGATTCGGCTCCAAGCGAGGTATTGGACGGTCTTGGCTGGGATTGTGGCTGTAGATGGAGGAGTTTGAATCCATGATGCTCAACGAGATATTGGGCCACCGTCCTTTTGCCGGAGCAAATACCTGATCTATGTGAGTTTGTGACTTGACTTGGGAAGTTTGCGATATGTTCTTACTGCCGCAGATGCCGATGAGCATGCTGTGGATCAATGCTGGTTTTTGTTCTGGAGTCTGTAGAGGTAAGGTAAAGTCAGCATCAGGCTTTGGATGATGTATCGTGCCTCACGTTGAGATTTTCCGTATGGTCATTTAACGCGTACGGCGACTATTCTAAGCGCGTCGCAGAGTGTGGGGGTGCACTGTTCGCAGCTGTGACCGTTGTTGTTCTAGAATGTCTACGGAACCCGTTGAGAAGTGTCGCAAACTCAACTTTGAAAGCGGCCGACAAGTTGACAAGTATGTTTCTCCATCTTACGAGTTATCACGGACATCTCGATCTAGTTAGACATTTCCTATATATAGATGCTGTGAGTTTTGATCAAAGCGTACATTCCAACAGTCCCAAGAAAGCTTGAACCCTTGGATGTTTCAGACACAAATCTCTCGTTAATGAGATTGCGTCTTCACGAAGAGGGTCACATTCTTTAAGTGAATGGTGGAGATAAATCTGAACGGGTGTATTCTTGATAACTTCCGATATACCGAGTCTGCGGTTGTGAAGAACGTGTTTCTCCTGTAGCTGAGGTGATAGTAAATGAGTCTGAAGGGTCAATGTTTATGATGGATGGAAATAATGGGGTTTGCAGTATCGATCTCCTTTTCTTGGTAAAATTTGAAGCTGTATTACTGACGATGATAGCTCACTATTTTTGGTCATCAACTTCATATCATGAATCTTCAACGGGATGACATTCATAGCGTCGATTTGAGGTATGGATGTGACCACGCTTTAAATAGAAGAACCATGACTCTATTATGACGGCATAGTCAGAATACCAAAGTAGAAAACATTAATACTGCCATGTCCCTTTTGATTTTACATGCGCTTTCGGACTTACACGCACGATTGCCGCATTGCAGCTACCGACATCTCGAACTTCCACTTACCCTATAACGACCTGTACTCTCCGACGGACGTCTGCGATAAGACCTGGTCCGATAGGAGGCTGCGTGACGCCGCCCAGTACCCCGCGGTGGGGCTGAAGGGAGACAAGAAAACTTCAGACATTAGTCCTAAGTGATAAAAAAGTTGACCTAAAGGCTTCCTAAGTCTACACTAAAGTTGCTTAAGTATTTTCATCACTTAGAGTAGAGGTCCTAAGTTTTCTTGCTCACTAACGCCTACCTACGACCTAAGTTGGAGCTCCACTCATGGTCACCAGTGATGGTCATCTTATCCGTTCAGGTGAACCTTCCATAAGGTCACTGATGAATACATTACACACAACGATCTTATATAGGTAGGTATTCAGCTATAACAGATCACGAACC